TTTGATATTCAGTAGCACATTGTATGCCTTTTACCATCTGTGTTTCCTAATGCTCAGCATACTGATCTGTAGGGTAAGTAATTAAAGCCATTTATTTTCTTGTATTTAAGAGTCATCTGATTTTCTTTAGTTCAGCATCATATATAAAACTGTAGCTTTGATTATACATGTAATTGTTCCCCATTATTACAAATCCAATACATTTGCAGCTCACCGGTGGACCTCCCATGTTCTCTTGGCAACTAGTATAGAAAATATAATAAAGACACAGCACATGGCTATAAAAAAGCCAGCCAGCTATTGATCGTATTGTCACAAACAACTCTAAACATATTCATTAGCTTTGTTTGCTGCCACTGCAGATCCATTAAAGTGATATGTAAATCCACCTAAAGGAATATTTATAAATGAAATCTATTTTCTTTTAAAGAGAAAGCTCATGTATATTTTATTCAAAGAGCTTACGGTTTGATATTGAAATATTTCTCATTATAAAACTTATTAAAATATATATGCTTATACAGTAACACATACTAGTTTTAAAACTATGAAAAAATATTAGTTCCAATACCTAGGGGATACATGTTTGGTGGTCAACTTTATTTTATCTTGGTACATACATACATACATACACACATACATACATACATACAACAATGCTATATCCCCTTGGTTCTCAACTGGTGGCTCAGGACCCAAAAGTGGTTCGCGACATGCTTTCCACTTTTCTAGTTTATAATTTCCAGTTCTCACAAGGTAGGGAGACTATGTGGATCTAAAAATAAAAAAAAAATACATTTTCTTTCTTGGAGTGTGTATATGTGTGTGTGAGATTGTGGTTGTGTGTATCTGTCAGCGTTTTTGAGGGCCCGTTCACACTGGTACAGAGCGTTAAATGAACAGTCCTGTGCCATTAACGCCATAAAATCGCACCTACTACGCATTCTGGTGTGGGAGGTGCATTGTTATTCATTCCCACCTCACGCCCACAGTTCAATTGCCCGCGCGGTACCGCAATACTGTGCATTCCATTGCAGTGCGTCTTGGGTCGCAACTTAATGACCATGGACAAATATGGGTCCTGAGGTTACACAGGTTGAGAACCACTGCTATATCCAGTATAGAGCTGCAGCTAACGATTATTTCCAAAATCGATTAGTTAGCCGATTATTAAGTTCGATTAATCAGATAAAAAATAAAATACATTTTTAAAAATGGCTCCAGTGATGGGACTATTTGTTTGTATTGAGATTGCAGTCCATCACGGGAGCAAGCTTGGAGCGGTGGAAGTAAAAATGAAAAAAAAGTGTGGTGTGCAATATAGTAAAATGGAAAATTATACAGCAATGATGAAGAATGGCACTGGCTATAGAGGACTACAAATCCCAGCAATAGTACATTATGCAGCACAATGCAGAATACCAATAGTACATTATAGCTGGCGGTATTCTGCATTGCGCTGTATAATGTATTATTGCTGGGATTTGTTGTACTCCTCTATAGCTGGTGATATTCCACTTTATAATGTATTATTGCTGGGATTTGAAGTCATCTATACAGCGCAATGCAGAATACCACAAATCTCAGCAATACATTATACAATGTGCTGCGTGGATGCGGCCGGGCGGGTCTGGCAGTGGCGAGCATGAGGTGGGGAGGAGGTGAGGCGCGCAGCGTGTGTGGAGCCCCAAACAGGGCCAACCAATCCGACATAATCGGATTGGTTGGCCCTGTTTGACATAATCGATTATTAAAAAAGTTGACAACTTTTTCAATAATCAATTATGTCGATTAGTTGTTGCAGCCCTAATCCAGTATCGATAATGGGGGGAATTTATCAAAACTGTAGCAGACAAAATCTGGAGCAGCTGTGCATGACTACCAATCAGCTTCTCTCTGTAGTTTGTTCAGTTAAGATTTGAAAATGAAAGAGAGAAGCTGATTGGTTGCTATGCACAGCTGCTCCAGATTTTGTCTGCTCCAGCTTTGATAAATTCCCTTCAGTGTATTCAGAAAGTATTCAGACCCCCTTCACTTTTTTTCAGTTTTCTTTTCATGCCAGCAGAGGCAGTTTGATGCTTTGGGCAATGTTCTCCTGGGAAACCTTGGGCCCGGCCATGCGTGTGGATTACTTTTACATGTACCACCTACATAAGAATTGTTGCTGACCAAGTACACCCCTTTATGGCATTCCTTGATGGCAGTGTCCTCTTTCAGCAGGGAAATGAGCCCTGCTACACTGCAAAAATGGTTCAAGAATGGTTTCAGGAACACAACAACGAGTTCAAGGTGTTGACTAGGCGTCCAAATTCTCCAGCTCTCAATTAGGTTGAGCATCTGTGGAATGTGCTGTAATAATTCCAATCCATGGAGGCCCCACCTCACAATGTGCAGGACTTAAGGGATCTGCTACTGACTGATTATTGCCAAATACCACAGCATACCTTCAGAGGTATAGTGGAGTCCATGTCTGGACGGGTCAGGGCTGTTTTGGTGGCAAAAGGGGGGACCAACTGAATAGACAAGCGCTCATAGTGTTAAGGCTGATCAGGCTGCATCCCAAAGACTTACCACACAGGCTGTATCCAGCAGACATGCCACACAGGCTGGTTCCAGGATGGAGTGCTCCTGACTGCTGGACAGACACCTCCCTTGTCTTCCAGGTGGAACCCTGAACCAGCATCCTTTTCATAACGGCTGTGCACAGGTGCACCATTCGATGCTGGTCATCACTAAAGCCCGGACCCCAATGGAGATTTCATCCCTTTCCAGTATCCCAGATATAATTTAGAAAACCAGGAAAGAATTGTAAAGCCAGCCCTTTCCTGGTAAAAGTATTTCCGTCCTGGAACTGCTCAGCCCCTCTGGGTGACCATCTTGCCACTCTATACAGTGGTACTGTGTGTGTGTGTGTGTGTATATATATATATACACACACACACACACACACACACACACACACACACCCTTTATATGTTCATTTACTTGTGATTTGGGATTTATTGCCCTTTAAGCAGGCCGCCATTAGTGACATTCAGTAGTGTAGAAAGCAAAAAGAATCCTGCATAACATTCCAGCTTTCTATTTTAATGCATAGTTTCTCTGAGTGTCTTAAATGTGCTTCGGCATTTCCTGTATGTAAAGCAGCCAGAATACATTTCAAATAAAACTGTTAAGCCGAATACACCACGGGGTTGTCAAAGCACTCTTGTTTTCATTAATTATACATTCAAGAGTTTTTCATGTGCTTGGTTTCATAGAAAGGCTGCTGTCATCACTGCAGATGAGTATGGAGAAGGCATTAAGAAAATACTAATAAAATAAACTGTTTCACACACTTTTTTTTTCCTCCAAAATCTGAAAATCATTTGAGCTGTGAATTAAAACTAAGAAATGTGTGTGAAAATAAAAATATTTTATAAAAAATAATGCTGAAATATTGCTGTTTGTCAAGTTGTCATCTTCGGAGCGATTTGCAGTACATATAAATGATGATTTAAAGGTTTTCATGGAACACTGATATAGCTTCAGAGACTGTGTATAAAGAGCTCTTATGTAACCACAGGAAAGCAAGCTCTAAGACAGCATATAGTCATGCACGCAGATTGTGTGCTAATGTGCTAAGTGATGCACATCAAGAGAGTGACTTATACTGATCTAGCCTGTCAGATAAGCTGTCATCACAGAGCAGCTTTGAAATACTTGTTTAAAAGAAAACCTATAAAAGTTTTAGATATTCAGTTTAGATCATCATAATCAAAAGAATTGTTTAGATTTGGTTTTAAAAGAGGAACTGAGCTTTGGAAGCTGTGGCCAAAATAAAAGGCAGGGCTTTGCTTCCTCATGTAAGAAGTGAACAGGGGGCAGCCCAGTAGTGACATCACCAAATCCAACTAGAAGCCAGAGGAATAAAAGCCTTAGATGGATTTTACACTGTAGATGTACAATTTTGAGGCTGTACACTTAGGCACACTCAAATGGCAGACATTGTTCAGAGTACTGCTTAGGCACAATTAATATTTTTAGATATCTGTAAAAAAAATAAGTCAAGGCAACTGGACTTGCTGTATTTTTCTTGAAGATGTTTCACTGGTCATCCAACCAGCTTTCTAAATTCAGAATGACTGGTACAAAAATTGAGAAAGCTGGTTGGATGACCAGTGAAACGTCTTCAAGAAAAATACAGAAAGTCCAGTTGCCTTGAATTATTTTTTACAGATATACCATGACCTGGGTGAATGAGAACGTTCAGACAATATTTCTAGATGTTCCCTATAGCATAGCAAAGCTTCACTTTTTAAGTTCAGGACCACTCAAATATGTCAGGACCATTTAAAGACCAATTCTCTTATAGCCAACCCCTCCTCCTGCTAATGCGTACCTTCCCTGTGTTCCTCCTGTCTTTTTCACCTGTTAAAAGCCTTGAATTAAAGTATATTTAAACTCCATATTTAAACTAAAAGCTCATATGCTGTAAAGTTAGTTTTTTTAAATCTTTTTACAACTATAGCTTTGATTAAAAAAAAAAATACCTGGCGCTCCTGCCATGAAGGTACTTGTAATGAGTGACTCGAGTTCCCCTCCTGCATTGTCACCCTACCACATGCACCCTTGAAGGAGGTCTGCCCAGTGCAGAAGAAACACTGAATTGGCCAAAGCTCCAGGACATTGCTGGAGAGACCAGATTCCTTCTTGGCTCACAGACCCCAAGCCAACAACTTCCCCCAAAACCCATCAGCCCACCAGTCCTTAACGGCCTGGTGATCACTTAGTGATCCTACCAGTTATACAGTCGGATGATAACGCTCTTTCACCATGTACTGTATATATGGAGAACCAGCATTGTCACCCTGTGTTAGGGCCCAAACAAGAAGGGTGCGCCAACAACCATGTGCACATGCACTGTGTGACAATATTTCTATAAACAGGAAATCCTGACATGCAAGATGCTACATGGGATCATCTAAAAATCAATTGTATGACTTATCAGTAACACATACTTTCCTTGCTGCCAAAATGATCGGTGTCTTTCCACATCAATGGGATTCGAATTCCTGCAGGAAGAATAGACACAATGAAACATTATGGTTATTCAGAAATTGTACATTTAATGTGTTTAAAAATGTCAGCCTACGTTTAACCAGCAGGATCTATATCAAGTAGTTCCGGAAAACAATGACTGAAATCTTTATGATTTCATTCCTCAAGCCCATTCTCAATCTTTCATGTACATAAAGCTGCTGTATTGTAGTACACTGGATCATCTCTATAATCTGCATGAAATACAAATGTGGATGTGTAGTTTTGGCTAATAGAAGAGCTTCTGAATACCAATCATTTCAGCAATTTATATGCAAAAACAGTCTAGCCTGGAAATCCTGGGCATGAGAGCACCCAATACACCCAAAGGGTTACAGAGATTTATATATCTAACATGCTGCTTCTGAACTGAGAATCAATCATTTCAGTAAATTATATGGAAAACAGTCTTAACCTGCACATCCTGGGCATGAGTACACAATACGCCCCAAAGGGTTTCAGATATTTATATACTGTAACTAACATTTAAACTTTTTACTGCTAATGTATAAAGGGGAGATACTGAAACTAGCCTCTTTGTCTCATCTTTCACAACTTTGCTGTCTGTAGAAGCTTTGACTGGACTGTAAGGAAAGCAGTCTGAGAATGATTTAGTATCTGCTTTTCCTCCAATTGTGATATTTTGTTGGCAGGGCTACGTATGAAATAAACAGTTTTCATACTCCCCTGAACACAGCACTACTTCCTCCCCTGAGGCTCCTGTGAGCTGTAAGTGCACAGCGGTCATCAGTCAGGTTAGAGTAAGTATAAATTGTTTTTTCTGTGCACAAATGTTAACCAGTTGACATCCGCGGTGTTAAACCCCCTTCCCATCCAGGCCATTTTTCAGTATTCAGCGCTGCGGTACTTTGACTGACATTTATTCCGTCATGCAGCGCTGTACTGAAATGAATTTTATACCCTTTTTG